GAAGGGAAGGAAAAAGAGGGTGAAAAGAGGGAAGGATGGAAGACAGGAAGGGAAGGAGGAAGGAAAGGAAGGATGAAAGGGTGGAAGGGAATGGAGGGAGGAAGAAGGGAGGGAAGGAAAGAGAAGGAGGAAAGACAAAAGGGAAAGAAGGAAGAATGGGAGGGAAGAGGGAAGGAAGGACGAAAGGAAAGGAAGGACATAAGGGTGGAAGGGAATGGAGGAAGGGAGAAAGAGGGAGGAAGGAAAGATAGAAGGAAAGACAAAAGGGAAGGAAGGAGAAAGGGTGAAAAGGGAAGGATGGAAGAAAGGAAGGGAAGGAAGAAGGAAAGAGAAGGAAGAACAAAAGGGTGGAAGGAAATTGAGAGAGGGAGAAAGAGTGAGGAAGGAAGGAAAGATAGAAGTAAAGAAAGACAAAGGGGAAGGAAGTATGAAAGGGTGGAAGGGGAGCGTGGAAGGAAGAGAAGGATGGAAAAACAGAAGAAAGGGAGAAAGGGTGGGTGGAAGGAAGGAAGGGATAAAGGAAAGAGGAGGAAGGAAGGATGAAAGGGTGGAAAGGAATGGAGGGAGGGAGGGAGAAAGAAGGAAGGTAAGGGAGGGAGGAAAAAGAGAAGGAAGAAAGGAAAGGATGTTGAGATCGAGGAGGCCCTGAGAAAATAGCCCAAGGTGCCACATCCGGCCCCCGGACCTGGATTTGCCCATTCCTGATCTAAGGAATAGACCCAGCCATGTCTATGTGATTTAAATATCGTAAAACAATAACACCATCCTATTAGTACACTCCTTGCCTATGTCCTCAATGGGCAGAATCAAGTCATGGTTCGCCAAGGAGACAAAACAGGCATATTCCAGCCAGATCCCAATGTCACAAGGATTAAAGAAGAAAGGCACTATAGTTTCCCATCTGCCGTCAAAGGAACTCAGAATTTGCAGCCACAAACCAGTCCGCTTGCAAAGGTCTTTTCTGTGTTGTTGCATCCAAGAAGAAGCCGGGATCCTCTGCACTTTTTAAAAAAGAACAACACAACATTGCAACCCAAACGACACACAAGGAACAAGAAGCATCGTCATTTCGGTGGGCTCGCATATCCATAATTCTTTTCCAAGGACCGCCCGTATCTTCTCAGTTCTACCATCTAGTAGGGTGCGTACCAAGGAGTGAGCCTTCCACGACCCCTATATGGAGAAAATACACAGAAACACACAAAAAAATGTGCAATAGTTTCTTTTTAAACACCATTTAAAATTATTTAGAAAATAATTTATTTTAGAACTTTTGGAAACCAGGCCCTAAGATTTTGGGAACTGGGTAGGTTTGGCTTGGAGAAGAGAAAGACAAGAGAGATAGCTGAAGGTAAGTTTCTGGAGCAGAGTAAAATAATAAATATAATAACAATACTAAGTAGAGTAAAATAATAACTATAATAACAATAACAATAGAGCATAATAATAAATAGAGTAAAATAATAAATGTAATAAAAATAATAATAGAGTAAAATAATATAAGTGTAATAATAAACCTAATAAAATAATACTAATTACAGAGTAAAATAATAAATAACATTGACTCGATTATAAGCCAAGGGGGGCTTTTTCAGCCTAAAAAAGGGGCTGAAAAACTAGGCTTATACTCAAGTATTGTGACTTGCATTTATTCCAGTGTAGATGTGCCGAAGCTCAGCCCTGGAGAGGCTGGGGAAGGTCTACCAGATGACAAATTTATTAGTGTTTTCTCCATCTAAGCTGCTGTTCTCATTCACTGGAAGGCTCGCCATTTCCCCTCCAGACTGCAGATCAATATCTGGCCTCAAGCAGGCTTTCCATCATGCATATAATTGATTCCAATGCACTTGTCGGACTGCATAACCAACCACATTACATTCTTCATTGTGGAGGAGGGCAATTGCAATGCAAGGCAGGGACAACTTTGGATGCCGATCCAAGCCCATCTTGCAGGGCTAAGACGTCAAGACCTTCATGATAATTATAACAATGATGCATGGGGATAGGAATAACTTGCTTTAAAAATGATAATAGTAAAGGTAAAGGTTTCCCCTTGACTTTAAGTCCAATCGTATCTGATTCTAGGGGTTGGTGCTCATCTCCATTTCTAAGCCGAAGAGCCAGCGTTGTCCGTAGACGCCTCTGTGACGATGTGTAACTTTTATTCTCATGTTTATGTGTTGTTTAGACAGTGGTTGATAAATGGTAAGTATGAAGGAATATATTTTGTTGGAGATGGTGGCTTGGCATTAGCTGGGTTGCCATAGCAACAGGGGCGGAGCCAACTGCCTCTTCACGGGGCAGCTGTTTCGTCAGTCAGTAAGCCAGTGAGCTACTGGGAAGACTGAGTCTCTGGGTGGAGATTCAGGGAATTAATTGGTGACCAATGGGGTTACAGAAAAGGACCCGGTAGTGATAAAACTACAGGGGGTTATTGATTCTGAGTTAAGAATCAAGGTTTGGCTGGGAGCCAATTCTGTTAATAAGCCTTTTAGCTTATTTGTTTTATTAGGACAGTTGTCCAGAAGGGTTACATCTGCTTATAGAAACCTCTTGAAGTCTGTGCCTGAGATTACTCATGAAACATTACTAATGTAACCAATCAAGATTTGTGCCTCTTGTGAAGAAACAGTTAAACATGTTATACTCCTGTTAAAATAAACTTGTTACTGTTTTCCTCAAGCCTTGCCTGATACAGTTTCTCTCAAGGCAAACAGCCTGCATAAGAAGTAAAGTCAAGCCAGGGACAGTAAACGCTACGCTATCAAATGAATAAAGCCTTCTGTAATTAATAGTCCCTTTATAAAATAGCTCCTAAGCTGATATTGATCGTTGCCCAGCTTTCCTCACGCATTAGGTGGCAGTAAGCTTTAACCACACCCCTTCACATATGTATTATGTAATTATGATATTATTTATTGTTTGCATTTTCGGTTTTATTCAGCGAGTGTTGCCGTTTTAATTGGCAAAGAATCAACCCATTCACACCTAGCTCCAGCAGACAAGAGTCCTTTGTCCCACCCTGGTCATTCCACAGATATATAAACCCCCCTTCCTAGTTCCAACAGACCTCACTACCTCTGAGGATGCTTGCCATAGATGCAGGTGAAACGTCAGGAGAAAATATAGCCCGAAAAAACCTACAACAACCCATTACTTTTTTTGTTTTTAAGGATGTGAGCCACATTGTGCCACATTTCTGAGAGAAACTCAAGGAACAAATGTAACAACAACAACAACAATGCACATTTGGACAAGGTTGTTAAGACAGTTTGATAATTGTAATACTTAATTCTATTTTAATATTATCTACTTTGTAGATTTTTGAGTTGGATAGTTTTTAAGGCTGTGAAGCTGCTTTGGGATTCCAGTCCTGGGAAGAAATGCCAAGTACAAATAAATGATGGCGATGATAATGATGATGCATGGAGTTAGGAATAGTTTTCAACAAGTTTGTAACGTGTGTTGTCAAAGGCTTTCATGGCCGGAATCACTGGGTTGCTGTGAGTTTTCCGGGCTGTCTGGCCATGTTCCAGAAGCATTCTCTCCTAATGTTTCGCCCACATCTATGGCAGGCATCCTCAAGGTTGTGAGGTACCTTGGTAACTAGGCAAGTGAGGTTCATATATCTGTAGAATGTCCAGGGTAGGAGAAAGAACTCTTGTCTGCTCGAAGCAAGTGTGAATGTTGCAAATGGCCACCTTGATTAGTGTTTAATGTCATTGCAGCTTCAAAGCCTGGGTGGTTGCTGCCTGGGGAATCCTTTGTTGGGAGGTGTTAGTTGGCCCTGATTGATTCTTGTCTGACATTCCCCTGCTTTTTGAGTCTTGTTCTTTATTTACTGTCCTGATTTTAGAGGTTTGTTTTACATACTATAGTGTGTTCACTTTCATGGTTTCCTCTTTTCTGTTGAAATTGTCCACATGCCTGTGGATTTCAGTGGCTTCTCTGTGAAGTATGACATGGTGGTTGTGAGAGTGGTCCAGCATTTCCGTGCTCTGAAATTATATGGAAGGTTGGTTCATCAGGTGCTCTGCTATGGCTGACTTCTCTGGTTGAATTAATCTTTCATGTTCATTGATTTATGTTTGGGCAACCCTGCATTTGGTGGTCCCTATATAAAACATGGCCATACAGCCCAGAAAACTCACAGCAACCCAGTCTGTAACTTGCTTTAATCATTGTAATATTTAATTCATATATATATACATACACACGCACACGCACACATACATACATACATATATACATACATATATATGTGTGTGTGTGTGTGTGTGTGTGTGTGTGTGTTTTGTAGGGATTTAAACTATAGTTTTTAAGGCCATGACCCGCTTGGGGGTTCCAGTAGTGGGAGAAAAATGGGATATAGATGATAGGTAGAGCTGTGAGAGGCTTGGGGAGCCAAGTCTGAAAAAACAGCAAAGTACATATTGTTGTTGTTGCTATTATTATTATTATTCAGTTCTTGTGGTTTTTTTCGGGCTATATGGCCATGTTCTAGAGGCATTTCTCCTGACGTTTCGCCTGCATCTATGGCAAGCATCCTCAGAGGTGAGACCTCACCTCTGAGGATGCTTGCCATAGATGCAGGCGAAACGTCAGGATCGAAATGCCTCTAGAACATGCCATATAGCCCGAAAAAACCCCCACAAGAACTATTGATTCCAGCCATGAAAGCCTTCGACAATACAAATTAAATTATTATTTTAATTATTATTATTACTAGTTAGATTTTTGATGATCTTTGACAATGTATAGCCATAGACTTTACCTATTGTTGTTGCCTGCTATATTATTATTATTATTATGTATTATTATTATTTTATTTGCTTCTTATTTTTCTACGTGTTGCTAGGTAGAGCCGTGATTGTCTTGGGCATGCCATTCTGGTGTAGCCTAATATTATTCGGCTCTCTCGTCCCTTTTGTCTTCTTCTTCTTTACCAGAGTAGTTATTGTTGTTGTTGTTAATGTTATTGTTGTTATTATTATTATTATTATTAGAAACACAAGATGAGTCCACAGCAAACAAGATCACTCTGCTGGCTGCTGTATTGGATCACATTATTGATGATGATGATGATGATAATAATAATAATAATAATAATAATAATAATAATAGCTAGATGGAGCTGTGAACAATTAGGGTTCCAGTCCCGGAAGAAAAGCAGAATACAAATACTACTTACTATTCCTGATACTATTTCAGCAAATTTGTGGCAAGGCTGTCAGATGCTGAAAGGGTGACAGATGCCCTCCCAGGGATACTAATCCAACCACCTGCGACCTCCTTCCTCAACACCTCCAAGGCCACCAAGGTGAGCAGCTCTCAGGTATGGCCTGCTGCCAGGTAGCAAATGACTGCTCACTTCTGTCCCTTCCAATATGAGGAAAAAATAAAAGAAAGGCCAGCGCCAAGGGCTGCTGCCAGGCTGTCTGAGCCTTTGCTCTCCATACACTTCGACAGACCCTGCCGGCCTCACAGGTGCTCAGGTGATGTTAAACCAACTGGACTTATTTCCAAGAGTTTCCCCCCGGGAGAAAGGAAGTCACCTTTGACTGCAAATAGGGTGCATCTACACTGCAGAAATAAAGCAGTTCGACACCCATTGAAACTGCCACTGCTCAACATAATGGAATCCTGGGATTTGTCGTTTTCACTCTTTGGCAGAGGATGCTCAAGACCTTGTAGAATCATAGAACTGCAGAGATCAGGCATACTACTATGGCTATCCAGTCCATCCCAATGCTGTGCAGGAACTGACAGTATTCAAGTGAAACTACAACTCCTAGTCTTCCATTGCATTGAGTCAAGGTAGTTCAAGTGGTGCCAAACTGCATTAATGAATTATACAGTGTAGATGCACCCCAAGAACACACAGTCACCTCCTAAGCTACTAATGGGGGAATGCTTACGAGCCATCAGGGCCATAGCCAGAAAAAAAAAAATTTGGGGGGGGGGGAGGGGGTTGAAACTTTTTTTTAGCAAATCATGAAGAGTAGTTCGATAACACAACAACAACATTTTTAATACAGTCCAAAGACCCTTATTGCTCTGTAAAAGGTATAAGATACAAAGTATGCAAGGTTAGTAAGGCCAAAAATAGCCACAAAAAAAAAAGTTGGTTTTTTAACCTGAAAAATTGGGGGAGGGGGAGTTTGAACCCCTTGAAAGCCACCACCACCACCAACAACAACAACAACAACAACAACCCTATTTCATCAGCTAAAAGCAGGTCCACGCTTCCCATTGAAATACTAATAAGTTTATACTTGTTAAAATTGTCATTCAGTTTAATTATTGTATTGTTTTAATGTGTTTTTTGGACTGCAAACAAGATATGTGCAGTGTGCATAGAAATTAATTCATGCTTTTTTCAAATTATAATCCGGCCCGCCAACAGTTTGAGGGTCTGTGACCTGGCCCTCTGTTTAAGAAGTTTGAGGACCCCTTGGCAAGAACATCCAGAAAACAAGACTATGGTGGTACGGCCATGTCATGAGAAGAGAACCAATATCAGGAACACGAACAGCACTGCATTTGGAGATTGCAGGACAGCAACCATGGGGACAAAGAAAAGATGGATGGACACCATCAACAAAGACATGAGTGCTGCTAACCTGAGTCCCGAGGATGCCCAAATCAAAGCCCTGAGGAAACGACAGTCACAATGCTAGCCCCTCCATTGGGAAAATAGCTTAGAAAGAAGATGATTATGTATTACAATATATATTATTATTATTATTATTATTCTGCTTCCTTGGCGACGAGGACGCAAAACAATGGCTTCAAACTAAAAGAAAGGGGATTCCATCTGAACATGAGGAAGAACTTCCTGACTGTGAGAGCCGTTCAGCAGTGGAACTCTCTGCCCCGGAGTGTGGTGGAGGCTCCTTCTTTGGAAGCTTTTAAACAGAGGCTGGATGGCCATCTGTCAGGGGTGATTTGAATGCAATATTCCTGCTTCTTGGCAGGGGGTTGGACTGGATGGCCCATGAGGTCTCTTCCAACTCTTTGATTCTATGATTCTATCTCCCCAAGCACTCACCTGTAGACCCTTCCGCGTGGCCTCGCACGTTGGGCTCCATTGAACCCAGCCCGGCGTGGCAAGGCGCCCCGTCCATGGAAATGACCCCGGGATCCGCCACGGTCAGTCGTGCTAATGCCAGGCATGTTGGTCCTTTTGGGCAAGACCTGGAAGAAGGTAGGAAGATGCCTTATCCTGGGTCCCATCTCAGGTCCATTGAGCCTAGATGTGCCTAGCTTCCTGTAGTTTTAGATAGGCATCCCTTCCAAAAGGATATGGACTCTACCCTTATACTGAACCCGACAACTAGTCCATTTAATTTAGTAGTGCCAGTTCTGACTGGCAGCCAAGGATTCCTTTAGGGCTTTAGGTAGACTCACAAGGGAATCACATTGAGTTAGATGACTGGTCCATTTATTTATTTACAATTATATGCCACCCTTCTCACCCCCGAAGAGGACTCAAAGTGGCTTACAAGATATATATACATTCAATATATATTATTAGTATAGTACAATATCAGTATTATATATTACTATATTGTACTATACCATTATATTGCAACATTATTAGTAATTATATATAAAATATACAATAATATAAAATTATTAGTAGTATTATATTGTATTATTATATTATTGCCAGCTCTGACAAGTAGCCAAGGATTTCTTTAGGGTTTTAGTTAGGATTATATGGGATTTTCCCTAATATTGAATCAGACGACTAGTCCATTGTAACCTAATATTGAAAGCTCTGACTGGTAGACAAGGCTCCTTTTAGGATTTTAAATAGGATCCTCTTTACAACCCTAGCTGGAAAAATATCACCCACCTTAATGACGCGGTCCCGGAATACACTCTCATCCCGCTCCATGGCTACCTTGACTGAGCTCTTGTCTGCAAACTCAATGTAGGCATATCTGCAACAGGAGAAAAAAATGATGCATCCACACTGTTGATTTAATGCAGTTTGATGCCACTTTTAACTCCCATGAGTCTGTAGTATGGAATCCTGGGAGTTGTAGTTTGGTGAGGCACCAGCACTCTTGGGCAGAGCACACTGATGACCTCTGCAAAATGACAACTCCCAGGATCCCATAGTATTGAGCCATAGCAGTCAAAGTGGTATTAAACTGCATTAATGCTACAGTGTTGACGTAGATCATGCCCCCTTCTTAAAACCAGCCACCACTTTCCGAAGCCCCACTCCGGTCCATAGATGGATGTTCACCCTTTCGGATGGCCAGAGAACTTGTCACAAAGGATGGTCACACGGTTTATCTTTCCGCAGTTGTTGAAATGCGACTCCAGCTGTTCTGCTGTTCCTCCGTAATCCACCTGCAAAGACCATGAAGGAGACCATGAAAAAGACCATGAAAGGACAATGAAGATGACTACACTGCAGGTACAAGACCATAAAAAGGCCATGAAAAGACCTCAAGAAGACCATTAAGGTGACCATGAAAAGACTATGAAAAGACCATGAAGAATACGAAAAAGATTATGAGAAGACTATGAAGAGGACCATGTAAAGGCCATGAAAAAGACCACAAGAAGACTATGAAAAGGTCCACAAGAAGATTGTGAAGAAAACTATAATGTAGACCACAAGAAGACCATGAAGTAGACCATGAGAAGATAATGAAGAATACTATGAAGTAGACTACAAGAAGATAATGGAAAGGGCCATGAGGATCATAAGACCATAAAGAACCGGAAAGAAGACTATGAAGATCATGAAGATCACAAGAAGACCATGAAGAAGAACCACCCTTGGGCACACATCTCACTTACGTTCCCCACGTAGATGGAGCGCTGGTCAGCTTCCACCTTCTCCTCGGTTGTCCTGTGCAAAAGAAGACCTGCAAAGAGGAGAGCACTTCAAAGTGAGAGGGGTACGTGATTATGGGACCCACCTACTCAGAACTGCAACAAAGAACACAATTGTAGAATGAATGCAGTTTGATGCTACTTGGATGGCCTTGGCTCCATGCTATGGACTCCTGGGAGTCTTAGTTTGGTGAGGCTCCAGCAGTCTTGGACAGAGAAGGCTCAAGACTTTGCATACTACAACTCGTGAAGCCATGGCAGTTAAAAGTTGTGTCAAACTGCACTAATCCTACAATGTAGATGCATTCTATGACATTGCAGACTAGGGTTTGAATCCCCATTCAGACATGGAAGTCTACCTGGATCCGAACTCAGGAGGAGACTCTTAGTCTGCAGCTCCTGGAGCCATTCTTCTTGCTCCATCTCCCGAACCTTTGCCTTGATGGCTTCTAGCTCCTGCACAATAACAATGAAACGAGAGTAAGTCTAGTGGTTAAAACACTGGAGTAAGTCTATGGAGGTCGACAGCAAGCTACACAAATTGGTCGGAAGCTCACTCCGACTCAGGCTGGCTTTGAACTCATGACCTTTCAGTCAGTAGTAATCTTAATGCAGCTGACTCCCAGCCATCTGTGCCACAGTTCCGGCTGTTAGGAGTTGTGGGAGTTGAGGTCCAAAACACCTGGAGGGCCAAAGTTGGTCAATGCCTGGTGTGGATTCACCTCAAGGCAACATTGCCCTGAAAAGTAGCGTAGATGCCAAATATTGCCAAATATGGGTCACTCCTCACCGGATCCTCCTCCTTCTGCAGAAGATCCTTTGTCTCGGCTTCCAAGGGACTCAGTGCGGTCTGTTCCTCCAAATGCTTCTGCCAGGCTGAGATTTCGGCCACGTCCCACGGGGAATCCGCCGAGGTCAAAGGTGGAGGGTCTCGCCACCAGGACCCGGCTTCTGGAAAGTGGAGGCTAGAGAAGGATAAGATGCAGACCAAGATTAGACTGCAAATCCCTACACGAAAAGCTCCAACCATCACCACTCAGGTCAAGAAAAGAAGCACGATCAAAGCCCTGAACAAGCCACGAGAGTCAAGACAAAGATCCACCCAGAGGAAAAGGGTTCTTACCATACATCAGGGGAACCACTGACCACAGAGGAAAGCTGAGGAAGAAACACAACCTACAAATTATCTGCAGACCCACTAAGAAAATCCCACGAAGAAGCTTCCCATCAGAGTGGAAATCATCTATCGGACAGATGGCAAGTTATTTAACCTCAGCGGACAGAAAGCCAAAACTAATGTTACATCATGTTATAGAACTCCAATATGCCGATGGCAACGTTGTCTGTGCGCATTCAGAAGAAGATCTACAAGCCACTCTAAACACCTTCACAGAAGCATACGAGAAGCTCGGCCTGTCATTGAACATCGAGAAAACCAAAGTGCTGTTCCAGCAGTCAGCAGCCAATCCCTCTCCAATGCCTGAGATACAGCTTAATGGTGTAACATTAGAAAATGTTGACCATTTCCACTAACTTGGCAACCATCTCTCCATAAAAGACACCAAATTACAACACTTCCTGAGCTCTGCGAGTGCAGCATTTTTCCGAATGAAGCACAGAGTGTTTGAGGACCGGGACATCCGTAGGGACCAAGGTGCTTGTTTATAAAGCTATTGTCTTCCCAACCCTGCTATATGCCTGCAAGACATGGACAATCTACAGACATCACGTGCAACTCCCCGAAGGATTCCATCAGCATTGCCTCCGAAAAATCCTGCAAATCTCTTGGGAAGACAAACGGACAAATGTCAGCATGCTGGAAGAAGCAAAGACCACCAGCACTGAAATAATGGTCCTCCGCCATCAACTCTGCTGGACCGGCCACATTGTCCGGATGCCTGACCACCGTCTCCCAAAGCAGTTGCTCTACTCCGAACTCAAGAATGGAAAATGGAATGTTGGTGGGCAGGAAAAGAGATTGAAAGATGGGCTCAAAGCCAACCTTAAAAACTCTGGCATAGACACTGAGAACTGGGAAGCCCTGGCCCTTGAGTGCTCCAGCTGGAGGTCAGCTGTGACCAGCAGTGCTGTAGAATTTGAAGAGGCACGAATGGAGGGCAAAAGAGAGAAACGTGCCAAGAAGAAGGCGCATTAAGCCAACCCTTACTGGGACCACCTTCCACCTGTAAACTAATGCCTTCACTGCGGGAGAAGATGCAGATCAAGAATAGGGCTCCACAGTCACCTACGGACCCACCGCCAGTACATTGATCTTGCAAGACAATCCTACTCGGACAACGTGGGATCGTTTAAGTAAGTAAGTAAAGGAGAAAGAACCCCTGTCTGTTTTAAGCAAGTGTGAATGTTGCAGTTAGCAAGCTTGAATAGCATTAAGTAGCCATGCAGCTGCAATGTCAATCAGTGAGACTATCTGCATAGAGGTAGCCTGGCCTCTGTTGCCTGGAGGCATCCTCTGTGGAATAATGTCCAGGGTGGGAGAAAGAACTTCTGAGCATATACAGAATACCTTGGTGAGGACGAGAGAGCGAGAGGGCCTTCTCAGTGGTAGCCCCTCGACTCTGGAACTCACTTCCGAAGGATATCAGGCATGCCTCAACTCTGGCAGTCTTTAGGAGGAGCTTGAAGACGTGGTTGTTCCAGTGTGCCGGCGCAATTGGTGGGAACGAGGGAGAGGGCCTTCTCGGTGGTGGCCCCCCGACTCTGGAACTCACTTCCTAAGGATATCAGGCATGCCTCAACTCTGGCAGTCTTTAGGAGGAGCTTGAAGACGTGGTTGTTCCAGTGTGCCTTCCCAGAATAATGAACCCTTAGCATTATGTCCTCCAAAAGCACTGTATACTGATTTAGGACTGCTTGTATGTTCGCCCATTGCCCCACCTCCTCTCTCTTGTTCATGCCCAGCATTATTTTTTAACTTAATTACATTTGGCCCAGCCATAGTTTTTAAATGTGTTTTGTGCCACTGTTCAATGTTTATGCTATTTGTGTATGAGATTTATTTTAATTGCTTTGTATTAGTATTTGTATTTTGCTTCGCATTGTAATTGTTATTGCTTGTATTAATGTATTGTGGGCTTGGCCTCATGTAAGTCGCACCAAGTCCCTTGGGAGATGGTAGCGGGGTATAAATAAAGTATTATTATTATTATTATTATTATTATTATTATTATTATTTCCATGGGAGGGGGAATATATCGAAAGCTGCCCCCCTCATGCAATGCGAATGGTATTCTGTACATGCTCAGAAACACATAGGCCCTGCAGGTGCCTTTTGCAAGAGAAGCAGGACATTGGTCTGCAAAACGACACTGAAATGCATCCTCTAACGCTTGCGGTGTTGCCAGTAAGGCTAATCTTTTGTGTTCATTCAAAGAAATATAAAATATTTGTGTATGTAAATACCTAAAGATATACACAAATGCACACATATGTATCTATCTAGATCAGGCCTGGACAAACTTTTTGACTTGGGAGCCGCATACTAGTACTCCCTGGTAGGAGGACTGGCTGCCTGGTGATGGAAGGAAGGAAGGGAAGGAGGAAGGAAAGAGAGAAGGAAGGAAGGACAAAAGGGAGGAAGGGAAGGATGGAAGGAGAAATAGGGAGAGGGAAGTAAGGAAGACGGAAAGAGAGAAGGAAGGAAGGACAAAAGGGTGGAAGGGACGGATGAAGGAAAGAGAGAAGGAAAGATAAAAGGATGGAAGGGGATGGAGGGAGGGAGAAAGGTGGCAGGAGGAAGGAAAGATAGAAGGAAGGAGAAAAGGGAGAAAGAGGGAAGGAAGATGAAAAGGTGGAAGGAAAGGATGAAGGAGAAAGAGGGAGAGGGAGGAGGAAGAGAAAAGGGAGAAGAAAGACGAAAGGGTGGAAGGGATGGAGGGAAGGAGAAGAGGGAGGAGGAAGAAAGATAGAAGGAAGGAAAGACAAAAGGGTAGAAACGAAGGAAGGAGACAGAGGGAGGAAAGAGGAAAGGAGACGGAAGAATGAAAGGATGAAAGGAAAAGATGGAAGGGGAAAGAGGAAGGGAGGGAGAAGGAGGAAGAAAGAGAAGGAAGGAAAGACAAAAGGGAAGAAAGGAAGGAGTGAGAGGGAAGGAAGGAGGAAAGGGGAAGAAAAGGAGGGAAAGGGGAGGGAAGAAGGGAAGGAAGAAGGAAGGAAGGAAGGAAAAAGAGGGAGGAAGAAGAAAGAGGGAGGGAAGAGAAGGAAAGGAAGGAAAGGAAGGGAAAAAGAGAAGGAGAGAGGGAAGGAAGAGAGAAGGAAAGACAAAAGGGAGGAAGGATGAAAGGAAAAAATGGAAGGGAGAGATGGAAGGGAAACAAAAGGAAAGAGAGAAGAAAGAGAAGGGGAAGGAGGAAGAGAGGGAAAGAAGGACGGAAAGGAAGGAGGAGAGAGAAAGAGGGAGAGAAAGGAAAGGGAGGGAGGGAAGGAGGAAGGAAAGACAAAAGAGAGGGAAGGATGAAAGAAAAAAGGAAGGATGGAGAGAAAGGGAAACAAAAAGGAAAGAGAAGAAAGAGAAAGGGGAAGGAAGAGAGGGAAAGAAGGACAAAAGGATGGAATGGAAGGAAGGAAGGGAGGAAAGAGGGAGAAAGGAAGGGAGGGAGGGAAGGAGGAAGGAAAGAAAGAGAAAGGAAAGGATGAAAGGAAAATGGAAGGAAGGGAGAGATGAAGGGAAACAAAAGGAAAGAGAGAAGAAAGAGAAAGGGGAAGGAAGGAAAGAAGGAGGAAGAGAGGGAAAGAAGGACGAAAGGATGGAATGGAAGGAGGGAGAGAGAAAGAGAGAGATAAGGAAGTGAGGGAGGGAAGGAGGAAGGAAAGGAGGAGGAAGAAAGGACAAAAGGGTGGGAGGGAGGGAGAAAGAAGGAGGAAAGGAGGAAGGAAAGAGGGAAGGAAGGATAGGACAGTGAGAGAGAAGGGCCTGAGAAAAAAGCCCAATGGGCCGCATCCAGCCTCCGGGCCTGAGTTTGCCCATATCTGGTCTAGACAAGCGATATACGTATATACATGCATTTGTGTATATGTATACATTTGTATATATTGTGTGTGTGTGTGCACATATATATGCATGTGACTTATACAAGCAAGCCTAGCATTTAGAGCCATTAATTGTCTCCAGCAGTAGCCACTTAACTCCATCAATTCAGAAGTACTCCTACATGCAGTTACTCAGAAAGGATTGTAACTTAATTGTCCTCACATGCAAACATTTTGCAACTTTGGTGTAGAGCATGAAAAGGTCCATTGTGTTTGTCTGTATGGCAAAAGGTTGGACTAGATGTCCTTTAGGGTCCTCCGTAAGCCTTATAATAGTCAGACCCCTGTATCCCCATCTGACAAAACTGTCATTTTCTAGGTCTTCCAGCCCAACTCTATATTGTTTCAAGGTGGTTTATTATTATCCTTTGAGGCTTGGAATAGCCGTAAAAAGTCCTCCCGAGATAGGAAAGTTTTGGGACTACAAATCCCAGAACTCTGGGAATTTATAGTTCAGATTGAAGGTAGTGTTTGCCTCAACCTATCTTATGTACTTACCTATATAGATGAGCCCTGTAAAGACTAAAGAATGGCAGAACCAAGCATCCATACATTATTATTGTTGTTGTTATTATTATTACCTTGCCCCAAGTCCAAACATGGCTGCTCAAGAGTCACCTGCAAACTCCACCACTTCCAGGTAAAAAAAGGTAAGCTTGGAAGAATCCACTGCTCCAGGTGAGGTATTTGATAAGTCAACAGCCAATCAGATGCTGAGGTAGGCGGGGCCACCTGGATAAGGGCGGGGCATAGAGACACCTATAAGAAGTGAACCTCAGGTGGGTCTCCAAGCTTGAATTAAAAGGAACAATCTAGTCCTTGGAAGCTGGGAAAATCTAAAGAGGTAGATGGGGGAAAAGTGGTGAATGTTGAAGGCTTTTATGGTCAGAATCACTGGGTTGCTTTGAGTCTTTCAAGCTGTCGGGCCATGTTCCTGCAGCATTCTCTCCTGATGTTTGGCCTGCATCTATGGCTAATGTCATCTTCAGAGGTTCTGTTGACCGTGAAGCAAGTGGCATGTATATACCTGTGGAATAATGTCCAGGGTGGGAAAAAGAACCCTTGTCTGTCTAAAGCAAGTGTGAGTGTTGCAATTAGCAAACTTGAATAGCATTGAGTAGCTAGGAAGCTGCAAAGTCAATCAGTGAGAGTATCTGCATAGAGGTAGCTAGGGCATTGTTGCCTGGAGGCATCCTCTGTTTGGGATCAAGTGCCAGAGTGAACACTGCCTAAACAGAGGATGCCTTCAGGCAACAACAGCCAGGCTACCTGTGTTCAGACACCCTCACTGATATATATTATATACATATATGAGAGTCCCTGGTGGTGGGCTAACAGTAGTGGGTTAACAGCGGGTGAACTCCCACTGTTAGCCCAGCTTCTGTCAACCTGGCAGTTCGAAAACATGCAAATGTGATTAGATCAATAGGTACTGCTCTAGTGGGAAGGTAATGGCGCTCCATGCAATCATGCTGGTCACATGACCTCAGAGGTGTCCACAGACAACCCTTTAAATTATTATTATTTATTTATTAAAATATTATTAAATATTGCCCCCTGGTGGCAAAGCAGATTAAACCGCTGAGATTCTGAACTTGCTGACGGAAATGTTGGCAGTTTAAATCCAGGGAGCGGGGTGAGTTCCCGCTGTAAGGCCCAGCTTCTGCCAACCTAGCAGTTCGAAACATGCAAATGTGAGATTAGCAGGTACCGTTCCGGCAGGAAGATAAGGGCGCTTCATGCAATCATGCTGGCCACATTACCTTGGAGGTATCTAGGGACAATGCTGGCTCTTTGGTTTAGAATTGGGAATGAGCAACACCCCCCTGAGTCGGACATGACTGGACTTAATGTCAGGGGAAAACCTTAATTAACAATACAATATAGCAATATAATAAGTAAATAAAATATAGTAATAATAATTAATAATAATTAATGTTAATTGTTTTATTTTTGTTATATACAGATAAAATATAGAATATGATGATGATGATGATGATGATGATGACAATTATTATTATTATTATTATTATGTGCATCCCTGTTTCATTGCATGGGAGCCCCTGGCGCAGTAGGTTATAGCGCTGAGCTGCTGAGCTTGTTGACTGAAAGGTCACAGGTTTAAATCCGGGGAACGGCATGAGCTTCCGCTATCAGCCCCAGCTTCTGCCAACCTAGCAGTTTGAAAACATGCAAATGTGAGTAGATCAATAGGTACCGCTCCGCAGGAATGTAAGGGCTCTTCATGCCGGCCGCATTACCTTGGAGGTGTCTACGGACAATGCTAGCTGTTCGGCTTAGAAATGGAAATGAGCAACACTCCCCAGAGTTGGACATGACTGGACTTAATGTAAGGGGAAAACCTTTACCTTTACTAACAATACAAAAAAGCAATAAAATAAGTAAATAAATAATAATAATTATTATTAATAATAATAATAATAATAATAATATAATTGGGTTGTTGAAGGTTTTTCCAGGCTATATGGCCATGTTCTGGAGGCATTTTTTCCTGACGTTTTGCCTGAATCTATGGCAAGCATCCTCAGAGGTCGCCTGTTGACTCTCCTCTGAGGATGCTTGCCATAGATGCAGGCGAAACGTCAGGAGAAAATGCCTCTAGAACATGGCCATATAGCCCGAAAAACCTACAACAACCCAGTGATTCCGGCCATGAAAGCCTTCGACAATACAATAAAATAATTAATGTTACTTATTTTATTATTATATACAGATAATCATAGAGTCATAGAATTATAGATTTGGAAGAGACCTCATGGGCTATCCAGTCCAACCCCTTGCCAAGAAGCAGGAAAATTGCATTCAAAGCACCCCTGACAGATAGCCATCCAGTCTCTGGGTTGTTGTAGGTTTTTTCGGGCTATATGGCTATGTTCTAGAGGCATTCTCTCCTGACGTTTTCGCCTGCATCTATGGCAAGCATCCTCAGAGGTAATGAGGTCTGTTGGAACTAGGAAAAATCTGTGACAATAAACAATTAACAACTAACTACCTCTGAGGATGCTTGCCATAGATGCAGGGAAAACGTCAGGAGAGAATGCCTCTAGAACATGGCCACATAGCCCGAAAAAACCTACAATAACCCAGTGATTCCGGCCATGAAAGCCTTCAACAATACATCCAGCCTCTGTTTAAAAGCTTCCAAAGAAGAAGCCTCCACCACACTCCGGGGCAGAGAGTTCCACTGTTGAACAGCTCTCACAGTCAGGAAGTTCTTCTTAATGTTCAGATGGAATCTCCTTTCTTGTAGTGATGTAGATAATAGAAAATATAATGTGATAATGATGATAATAATAATAATAATAATAATAATAATAATAATAATATCCATCCCTGTTTCATTACATGGCAGAAGGAAGCCAAAGAAACGAAGTCAGTGATATTAAATTTTCTTTATTACACGGATACAGAGTTCAGAACAGACGTGACCTGAATTCATTATGTTTTACATCTTTTCACAGGTTCAAACATACAGTACATTTAGAGAAAGCAGGAGACAGCGAGGGAAAAGAGGGGGGGACAGCATGCCGAAACAGAAATAAAATGAACCAACCCTCCTATATCACTTTTGTCAATTCTCTTGGGGGGGGGGCACAAACACATGGGGAAACAGGGCAAAAGGGGGGATTTTAAAACTTCTTTTTTGTTTTGTGTAAATTTCCCATTCATCTCCTCTCTTTAAAACCTCTTTGCACAAACGCTCTGCCACGCATCCTCACTCGCACACCCAGGGACATTCCTCATTCCTTCCTCCCTTTGGGTGCGTCTACACTGTGGAATGAAAGCGGTTTGGTGCCACTTTGACTGCTATGGGAGTTGCAGTTGGCACTCTTTGGCAGAGGAGGCTCCCAGGATGAGCCATGGCAATGCAAAGTGGTGCCAAACTGCATTGGTTCCACAGTGCAGATGCACCCCAAGCCCTCTCTGAATTCAAGTATTGCACAGCTCTGTGTGTGTGTGTGATGCACCTCTCAAATACCCTGAGAACATAGCAGTGCCACCCATTTTTTTTTTTGGAGTACTTTCCTTCTCTGGAGGTTTTTAAGCAGAGGCTGGATGGCCACCTGTCGGGAGGGTTTGAATTGTGTCTTCCTAGCAGAAAGGGGTTGGACTGGATGGCCTTTACATCACCTTATCTGCCATGGCTCTATGCCAGGTATGGGCAAACTTGGGCCCTCCAGGTGTTTTGGACTCCAACTTCCACAATTCCTAGCAGCCTACCGGCTGTTAGGAATTGTGGGAGTTGAAGTCCAAAACACCTGGAGGGCCCAAGTTTGCGCATGCCTATACTACAACCTAAAAAACAGCCAACAGTGTGATGCAGCAGCTAAAAAAGCCAATGAGAGAGTGTCTTCCTTACAATGGCAGAATTTGGGTTGGACTGGATGACATTTGGAGGTCTCTTCCAACTCTAGGATTCTATTATTATTATTATTTTGGAAAGGATGGGAAGACCTGAGAATACTTCTAAATAGGCCCCTAATTCTGAGATATTTGATCCAGGCAAAGCCAGCCAAGGAAAGAGAATGCGCTTTCCACCAGAAGCCGATGGGACGCTTTGAAATGGGAAGCCAGGGTTTTGCAAACTACAACTCCCAGGATTCCCATAGCGTTGGGTCACCCAAGGTTTTGGTGATACTCCTTTAGGCTTTCATTTTTGGGAATATCGACCAAGTCCAAAGATGCGAGGCGGCTTGCTTTGATTTGCCAAGTTAAAACAACAACAAATAGTTGGTCATCCCTCTATTCTCCTTCCTTTGTATCATAACGGATGGCTCATATATATGTGTGTGTCTGTATACACACACACTCACATATACATACATTTATATATTCATTTCCATGAATGCATTGTCGCATGCATTTGAGCATCGCTGGATCTACACTGTCATATAACGCTGCTTGACTGTATTGAATTGCACTATATGGGTCTACAACATTGACCACATAATGCAGTCCAAAAGTGCATGCTATGGTGGTGCAAATCCAGCCCAAAAAATGGAAGAGCATATAGACTATGGCTGGATATACACTACCCTATAATGTAGTTTTGAACTGCCTTAGCGGACCCACATAAATGCAGTTCAATACAGTCAAAGTGCCTTATATAGGTCTATACTGACCATATAGTGCAGTCTATACTGACCATATAGTGCAGTCTATACTGACCATATAGTGCAGTCTATACTGACCATATAGTGCAGTCTATACTGACCATATAGTGCAGTCTATACTGACTATATAATGCAGTCTATACTGACTATATAATACAGTCTATACAGACCATATAGTGCAGTCTTTATTGACCATATAATGCAGTCTATACTGACCATATGATAGTCTATATTGACCATATAGTGCACTTTATACTGACCATATAATACAGTCTGTATTGACCATATAGTGCACTCTATATTGACCATATAATGCAGTCTATACTGACCATATAATCCAGTATATACTGATCAGATAGTGCAGTCTATACTGACCATATTATAGTCCATATTGACCATATAATAGTTGATATTGACCATATAATGCAGTGTAGATCCATCCAAAAGACCCCATACTTATCTAACAGTATTCTCATATTCTTACAGTAATCATAGGATTTAAAGACGACCTTTCTTTTACCAAAGAGGGGAACAAAATAAATTAAACTTTCTTCAAATTCCTGAAAAAGACCACCTC